GGCATAAATTTCAGTAATTGCCGATACCAAGCGATAGAAGGCCCTTCCCCTATGTCACCTTTTCCCTTAATGGAAGCCGAGTTTACTCGCTGGTATCCACGACACACGCGGCGATTTCTCTGCCACTCGTGTCACTTTCGATTTCAGCGACCACGAAGAAGTCGCGTTCTTAGCCGCCGTCGCCGCCACGCGTTGAATTATTTATGGGGGATCGACGATCTCGACGAAGGCGGAATACACGTGCTGAAACAGAAACACCGTAATCGAACGGGGAGGGGGGGGGGCGGTTTCGCGAGTCCTGGGGGCTAGGAAGTCGCTGAAACAAGGTCGAGTTCAAGTTCCCATTCGTGTTTACCTAGCATCGGCCGATAATGCTCCCCGCTTCTTCCTTTTCCTCTATGGCTATTAATACGCAGGAGGCAAAGGGGGGGGGGGCAATAAGATATTCCCAGACTAGCATAGAGGTTCACTTCATTATCTTAAATTAATGTTTGTCTCTGACGTTCCTGTGATTTCTATCTATTTCTTATTAGGGACACGTACCGTGTGTGACCTAGATATATATGTATCACGGTATGTGTGTGCGTTTCATTTTCGCGAGATAATGCAGGCACGTGTGCGAACTGTTATCTGGATGGTGTCAGAGCTGGTTGTAATGCGCGTCGATCTTTGACGCAAGCGAAAAATATATCTGATTAGTGAAATCTGTTTCTACTGTTCCTGGAGCTGCAACGACGTTTTGGTATGGTACTTGATAATATGTGTAGGGTAAATGTCCAAATTAATGTCAGTGTCACTAATAGCACCGCTTTATTTATATTATTTATTTATTTATGGTTTGTTTGGTGTGGTCGCATTAACTGTAACGTCAAGTACAGTTTTGTGTCCATTTTTAAGTCTATTTTATGAGTTTGTGTTAGGCCAAATGATCTATCAAGTCGATGTCTTCGACGGCTGAATTGATCGATTACTCAGATTTTACGTGTTCTCTTGGCACGATTTTATTCGAAAAACGAATCTTCCAGAGTTCCTTCCGTTAACTCTCTTGCACGATTTGTTTCTACGTTGGAATTAATCCGAAAAAGAGATTCCACATTGTGTCTCGTATACGGAACCGAGACTTTTGAGCAGTAGTGTATTTCGTGCACGCAGCGGTACTCGAGATAAGCATCTCCCTGATAAATTAGTGACCAAGTCGGCTGCAAAACATTGTAACCATTATCTGTCTTCCATCGGCCATAGTACGATCCGTCCTAACATTCCTCGAACAATTCAGACCACCCGCTCATAGGAATCCCTCACGCATCAAATTACAAAATTCCACGATCGAAGATTATTACAAATCAGGTAGAACTTGCGACCGAAAGCTTAAAGAATCAAGCGTGAACAATTTCCATTGCAGAAAGAACAAGAAATACGTTTTCTCGACGTGATCGTAGTGTCATTTTCTCGAAAATGTTGCTTTTTCTAAATTCTAACCCCTACTTTCGTTATACCCTGTTTTCCCTTTCGCTAGGAAAGAAGTCATCGCTCTTATTCTTCCAATTCCTAAAAACTTCCAATCATTTTACAATAATTAATGAAAAAAGGAAATTAAGTGCTGCTCTTTCTATCGTATGAATTACAGGTTTAATTGCATGCAGAATTGCCTTTACGTATAACTTCACAACGTTTATTTGTAATTTTAACTAAACAGTCTAGGATGACAGTAATTCGGTAGGTGGCAGTAACTTGTACTCCATTATTCAATTTCCGGAACGATCCTCCCCGTTGCAACGGAAATATTCCGCAAGGTGAATCGGCCTTTGAAAAACCTCGAGAGAGAACAAAAAATAGAAGAGCACGGAGGAGAGAAAAAGAAATATGGGTTTTGGTGCGAGGCACGGAGTCGTCAAAGACTCTCCTCGTCGTTCCACGCGCTCGCGCGTCTACGATACGCGCGCATATACGTGTGTGGTACGCTCTCTTGGCCCTCTCCTCCACATAGTTGCGCGCCCCATCGCACACAAACGGGCGGGAAGCACGCAAACCTTGCGCGTTCACGAACTTTTGGCGGCACGTGCACTCACACACAGTCGGAGAACGCGGCTCTCGGCCTTTGCACATACATACAAGCGCGCACCACGGCCGTCCGTGC